AGTCTCATTTCCTGCTGTGCTTCTGTCTGGGCTATTTGTCACCGCCTTTGTAACTCTGCTTTCAGGTAACTTCAAAGTGGGCTCCTCCTCCCTAAACTTGAGGCTGAGGGGTGGCCAAATTCCTGGGAAACAACTTAATATTTAATTTCAGGGGGTCTCAGATCTGGAGCACCGAAGTCGTGTTCCTACGTGTCGTCCTGATTGCGAACTACCACTAGATGTCCCTCTTCCCCTCAACCGTAACCACGAATGAGCCTCTCTACCTCACCCACAGCCCCACTCCAGGTTCTGCCACTACCAGGGCAGGTGACCAGGAGGGCAGAAGCCTTCCTTGGGTAATAAACAGTTTGAACCTTAGCCAGCACGTGGCAACCTTGGAGAAGCCTACTAGCATCTTGCTGGCTTCTGAAGCATAAACATTTTCCTGCGCATTCTGCCCATCATTAAGTTCATCATTTCATCAGGGCAGTAAATTCTGCAACCGGAAAGTTGTGTGTGTCAACTGTCCCCCCCCCTTAACTCTTTTTATTCCCCCATGGACTTGAGGGGTCTCCAGAGGCAACCAAATCCTGAACGTAAGTCTTTGGACCTTCAACTTTTACTCAGTAGCTTCTTGGAGCATGCCCTCGACAACATAAACAGAAACTATATTAATATTATAATAGATAATAGATTAGCCTGAGATCAGTCACTTTACACGTAGGTAGAAGGTCGAGAAAAATCAACCATGACTGTGTCTATGGTAAGTTCTACAGAGAGACCCATCAGATCATCTCATAAAATACCAGCCTTTCTCTACCTAAGGCCTTGACTTTCCTTATCCATGTCTGTGATGAATGCTAACCACACTTTTCCATTCCTGTGAGGCTATGGATGGTTATATCCAAAACCTTTGGTGGTGATTGTCCAGGACCAATATATCCACAGTCTGATGAACCACATGCCCACATGCCCATGTATGGGTACCAGGGGTGGGTATGATGGATATATCTAACTTTCTGGACAAAGGCAGGTTAAACCTTAAACTTGCCAAGGCAGGACAAAACTTAACTCACATTGTCTGGAAAAAAAAAAACTTTCATAGATGAAATTTTGTGGCTGAAATTGTGTGGCCAAAAATTTGTGTCTACCAATGCTCCAAAACTGTAAAACTATCATATTACCAAATTTAAAAGATATTGAAGAGAGTAATGATAGAAGAGATAGTTCCAAAAAGTCTGAAGTGAAACATTCAGAAAGCCACACAGGGGGAAAAAAAGTAAGTATGATTCCCTAAGACATCTCTGAATATGATTTTGACTGTCTCCTCCAGCTTCAACAGAACTTGAAAAAGAAGGGAGAGGAAATTCGATCTCTTGGGCTTTGGAGCGATCAAGGGGGCTTACTCTGCTGACAGCTGGGTAAGAAGGCAAAGCAAAGACACAAAGTTGTATGAGAATCGCCTGACCATGAAGAATGGGGCTGAGCACTGCCCCGTGGCTTAAAAGAGGGCTGTAGACCATCCAGATTAGTGGTGAAATCCAGGGATGGCTGACTTGAATCATTCTACATGGCTGAAATGGGGCATGGGGCTTTGGGGAAGTGTAATATGTATTTTCACTGTAATTTAAGAAATGACAGTAGAAAATTTGTTTGAGCTCACAGAGGTTTGCATCCAAAGGACTCACCGAGCCCTCAGCAGAAATTGTTTAAAGAAAATAAGTTATAATAATTTCAAATTTTAAAGTGTTTTAATTTAAAAGGTATTTTATTTTATTTTATTTTTGGTTTTTTAAGACAGGATTTCTCTCTGTAGCCCTGGCTGTCCTGTAACTTGCTCTGTAAACCAGGCTTGTCTCAAACTCACAGACATCCACCTGCCTCTACCTCCTGAGTGCTGGGATTAATAGTGAATGCCACCACCACCCTGCTAAAAGGTATTTTTAAGTATAGTGTCTTCATTACTGTTTCTGTGACGAATCACCATGTGTGGAAATTTGAATGTAATTGGCTCCCATCAACTCATAGGGAGGGGCAGTATTAGGAGTCATGGCCTCGTTGAAGGGGGCGTGGTCTTGTTGGAGGAAGTGCGTCACGGTGCAGACAGGCTTTGAGGTCTCTTTTGCTTAAGCCTTGATGGGTGTCACAGTCAACTTCCTGTTGCCCACAAGATAGAGGACTCTCGGCTACTTCTCCAGCGTCATGTCTGCCTGCACGTCACCATGCTCCCCGCCATGTTGATAATGGACTGAACAACTAAAATTATAAGCGAGCCACCCCAATTAAATGTTTGTTTTACAGGGGTTGCCGTGCTCATGGTGTCTTTTCACAGCAATAGAAACCCTAAACGAGACGCCATGACCAAGGCAACTTTTAAAACACAGCATTTAACTGCGGCCTTGCTTGCAGTCTTAGAGGGCTAGTCCATGATCGCCAAGGCAGGGAGGTGGGAGGCAGGCAGGCGGGAGGCAGCTAGGTAGGCATGGCGCCGGAGCAGTAGTTGAGAGGTCATTGATCTGCAAGTTGCACACAGAAAGAGAGTGAGATTGGGCCTTTGATGGGCTTTTGAAACCTCAAAGCTCACCCTCAGTGACACACCTTCTTCAACAAGGTCATACCTTCTCCAATAAGGCCACGCCTCCTAATTCTCCCAAACAGTTTCACTAACTGGGGACCACACATCCAAACACATAAGCCTATTGGGGCCCTTCTCATTCAAACTACCACAGATAGCCACATATTCTCTGCTCCTTGACTGTTCGTGCCTCAGACAAAAATCTCATCCAGGAATGGGGAGGTAGGCGTGAAATCCCACTCCTAGCTGTGGAATTATTGGCAATTAAGAGATGCTATGAGCAAAAAAGTCCATTTGCTTTAAAAGTGTGCACCTCGCAGGTGTTTGGTCATGCTCTAGTAGATGAGCATACACCTAAAACTATATGAACAATATAAATTGGACTTGGTGGGTTTAAACAAACAAAACACAAAGACATAAATTTGGCCTGGTAGGGAAGGGAATAATGGATCTGGGAAGAGTTGGAGGCTAGAGGAGAATAAGATTAAGACACATTGTGTAAAATCTCAAAGAATAACAAAAAGAAAGAGAGTGACATCAAATTGAACTAACTAGAAAGAATATTTTAAACATGATTATTGCTAATGAAATAGAATATATATCCAAAAATTCAGACCCTCCCCCAAGGAAACAATGCACTGTCAGAACGGGAGACCTCACTCTGCCTTTTTCAGTCACTGCCAGGAAAGGCAAGAGGACAGCAGGGATCCTAAGACACAATCAACAGGCTCAGTCTAACAAAAATGCAGAATTTTGCACTCAACTCTGGGAGGATGCTAGCTCTACCCCGCCATGGAACTGCACTGAGAAGATGGATACCGATGCACAGTCGTGATTTCTGAATTTCAGAATAAAGCTGAAATACGCTAAGGGTCCAGATTGTCATGCTTTATCAGCCTGTAATATGTAGGTTGGAGGAGATAGAGCCGTGCCTTAACATTTTCTTAAGGAAAATATTATGTTCAAAATTACAGAAGAAAGATGAAACACATGCCACACACCTAAACTGTCACGAGTCTGTTTTCTTGGGTTGGTGGTGAAGTCATTTAGGAAAGCCAAAAATAATAATAATTAAATTGTTAAAGATGCAAAGGAAAGAGAAGATGAAATCTGAGATTTCTAAACAAACAAACAAACAGAAACGAAGCCCACGTCACTGACCAGCAGGGATGTTATCTTAGGACTCACTGGCAGAAGTTAGCAAAAACCCTTCAAAGCAAAATTAAACTGTGGAAAATAAGGATTGGGGGATAAATAGGCAAATTATTTTAATGAATGAAGAATGCTGGAGAAAGGGGTGGGAAGGAAGTAAATTGGTGAATGGGTAGCAAATTACTGAATTTGAGAAAGGGAAACACATGGATTTGCATTGACAGATGTTAGCATGTTTC